AAGCTGAAGAACGGGAGACAGAAATTAAGAGGAGGGAAACCGAGGAGGGGGCAGGGATGGGGAGATAATACTAGCAAGAACAGACAGGAGACCGAGAGCCAAGGTGGGGCAGGCAGGTGATAGCAGATGGCTCCTGCTGCCCTCACCCTCCTCTCTTACCTTACAGGTCTGAGCAGTGTCTCCTCACCCTCAGAGCTGTCGGATGGCACTTTTTCTGTCACATCAGCCTATTCTAGTGCCCCAGATGGAAGTCCTCCCCCAGCTCCTCTGCCAGCCTCTGAGATTATTATGGAGATGGTCCCAGGCCAGCTCTCCTCTGGTGCCCCAGAGGCTCCCCTTCTCCTCATGGACTATGAAGCCACCAACCCCAAAGGGCCCCCACCTTCACCACCTCCTCTCCCACCAGCCCCGGATGCTGGGGCTGCTCCAGAGGAAGCTTATAGCCCACCGGCTGTGGACGTGATCCCGGTACCACTTGTATTGATGAGATTATGAGGGCTAGAAAGAGTGGGGTACAGGGGTGGGGTGAGGTTGACTAGTCCATGAAACAGACTGAGTCTTGCTTCAGTTTGGGAAGAAGGGGCCACTTACCCTCATTTTTGGACAAGCAAGGTAATCCTTTGTTTAGTTTCCATCAGAGCTTGACTCAGAAGTCATGAGGCATCAGAGGTTAAAAATTCTGGGGAATATCCTCAGTTAGAGCTGGATTGTAGGGGTTACCAGAGTGATGGAGGGAAGTTGGGAGGATTGTAGAAGAGAGAGGCTCGCAAGATGGAAGCATCTATCTCGCAATGACCTTTGGTAAGGAGGCTTTTACATGGTGAAAGTTCAGTCTTGTGGAATAAATAAATGAGAGTAAATATTCAGGTGTAGCAGCAAGAACCTGAGGACATACTTGCTTTAGAGAGGCTAATGGATTAGAGAAGTCAGGGTAGCACTGTAAGTACAAAAAACTTACAAATTTCCAATAGGTAGGCTGTGTTGGATGTGGCCAGCAGGAAGTGCTGCAGGTTTCAGGGCTGGAGTAAAGGCAAGGCTAAAGCCATTCAATAGGGTGTCATGTGGTCAGTATGCTTTGAGCTGGTTCTTGGAGAGCTGAAGGGGGATGGGGTGGCAGGCATGGCCAAGCCTATGGGTAAGATGTGCTGCTCAGCTTGCATGGGCCAGGCCTGGGTGGGACAATCAGCAGTCAGCCTAGAAAGCTAAATCCTTCATTTGCTCAGCTCTTGAATCTCCATTTGGAGTATATGCTTCCTATCCTATGTTCTCCACAACATTTCAACACAGGTAGAAGTCCAGTAAGTATAAATGAATGAATCTGGAACAGTGGTAGAGAAAGGCTGGGGTTAGAAAGGACAGCAATTCCTGAGGCCTCATCTGGTGGTGAGAGGAGGAACAAGACAGGAAGTGGACTGAGGCTACAGCTGTCAGGGCAGGAATATCTGGCAGTTGGGACCCCACAAGGCTCACCCAGCTTTTCCATCCAGGTGGACATGATCTCACTGGCCAAGCAGATCATCGAAGCCACACCAGAACGGATTAAACGAGAAGGCTTTGTGGGGCTGCCTGAGGCTGGAGCCTCAATACGGGAGCGGACAGGGGCCCTGGGGCTCAGCGAGACCATGTCCTGGCTGGCCAGCTACCTGGAGAATGTGGACCATTTCCCCAGCTCTGCCCCTTCCAGGTGACCAGCTTAGGACAGCCTCCAGATTCTTCTCAATGGGAGATGGGAAGGGGGAACATAGCTTCCCCATAGCCAAAGATCCATTCTGGCAGAGGCCCCAAGGGCCTTTGAGAAGAGTACTGGAACAGGCTGATAAGCTATGAAGTCATGCTCTCCAGGCTCTGTTGGTGGGGGTTTCCCTTTACAGCAACCCCTAGGCAGGAGAAGAGGGACTTCACATGCCCCATGACTTGCCTTCTTCCTATTCCTACAGCGAACTGTCTTTTGAGCGGGGTCGCCTGGCCATACCTCCAGCACCTTCCTGGGCAGAGTTTCTTTCTGCATCAGCCAGTGGCAAGATGGAGAGTGATTTTGCCCTGCTGACATTATCGGATCATGAGCAGCGGGAACTGTATGAGGCAGCCCGAGTCATCCAGACAGCCTTCCGAAAGTACAAGGTCAGGAGGCTGGGAGGTCTTAGGGGAAGAATTACACAATCTTTGAGTCGGGAGACTGTGGGCTCCTAGGACTCTGGGAGGGAGAGCAGTCATCCAGAGAGGCCTCAGATGGGGTAAAGGGTCAGGGGACCTCAGGCAAGTTAGAAGGACAGATCACATGTCTATTAGGTATGCCTTCAAGTGGTGAGACTTCCTGTTTTTCCCTTAGGGCCGGTGGCTGAAGGAGCAGCAGGAGGTAGCAGCAGCTGTGATCCAGCGCTGTTACCGGAAGTACAAGCAGGTGAGATGTTTCTCTCTCTAAAACATAACCAACCCAAACCCACCCAATCCAGCCCAGAGCATACAGAATGCTGCTGGAGCCCTGACTCCCCTTCTCTCTCCACAAGCTGACCTGGATTGCACTTAAGGTATTAGGCATGAGATCTGGGTGTGAGGTTGTCTGTGATGATTCAAGCCTTTCCATGAGCGTGTGGGTTAGAGAAAGAGACCTGTGTCAGCTGACCTTGGGGTGACCCTCATGGGTTTGGGTTTCTGTCCCTCTATTTCAGCCCATTTCTCCTCCCCACTCCTACAGTTTGCACTCTATAAGAAGATGACCCAGGCGGCCATCCTGATCCAGAGCAAGTTCCGAAGCTACTATGAACAGAAGCGATTTCAGCAGAGCCGCAGAGCAGCTGTGCTCATCCAGCAGCATTACCGCTCCTACCGCCGCAGACCCACAGGCAGCCTACCTGCCCGAAACAAGTACGGGTCCAGCCCTTAAGCCCTCTGTGCCTGCCCACTGCATCCATGCCCACTGCCCATGGGCCCCCAACTCCCAGCTTATCCTGCCCCCAGCCCTTCCTTGCTAGGGTCCCAAAGGGGCTGAGGGCAGGGGATGCCTTAGTGTTGTGTGAGGTCTCATCTTTTCTTTCTTCTGCCAGAGGCTCTTTTCTCACCAAGAAGCAGGACCAGGCAGCCCGGAAAATCATGAGATTCCTGCGGCGCTGCCGACACAGGTACTCATCCTTTCTCCTGCTGGATTTTGCTCTGCCTCCTCCATCACCCCAGATCTGCTGGTCTCCTCTGACTCCTTCCTTGTCTCTCTACAGGATGAGGGAACTGAAGCAGAACCAGGAGCTGGAAGGGCTTCCCCAACCTGGACTGGCCACCTGACCTCTCCCTACCCTGGAGGCCGCTTCTTGTAGTCTTAAGGGAGAGGGCTCTCTGGGGGAGGAGCCCCCTGTCGGCAGCTTTCCTCGTCACTTTGTTTGGAGATCTTCCTAGGTCTCTATCCTCCCCCTCCAAAGTGCTGAACTCCCTCTCCCACTCCCCAGCTCCTCTTCCCTCCGGGTCGTGCCCCCTCTTTCGTTCCCCGGCTCCAGAAGACCCACACCCCACATACCTGCATCTTTAGCTGTGACCTCCGGAGCCCTGCCTGCCCCGTTTCCACAGCTCCCTCCCTGCCTGCACCCGCCTCGCCCCTTTCCTGACTTGCCTTATTTATTCGTTCGATGCGTCTCTGAATGTATCAGCTTGGCCCCACCTCTGCCTTCTGCACTCTCCCCTTGTGTTTCAGGGCTGACCGTGCCCCCACCCGACTCCGCATGTTTGCGTCTGTTTCCTCCTTTTCTGGCCCTGTGTTCCCCCCTATCACTCCGACTCTGGCCACCAACTTCGGGGCCAAAAGGGGGTCTGTATATAGGAACTCATTGCGGAGTCCCGCCCCATCCCCTGATGGGAGGGGGTTTGTAAATATGTAACATACAGAGTATAGTGAAGAATCTATTTAAGGCGCCGCGGGGAGGGCTGCACAGCCGGGCTTGTGGTTCCTGGGCGCGGCGGGAGCCTCCTGCCGGCCCCACGAGCACTTTCTACTTGTGCATGGGCTTGGTTTCTACGAATTGCCATTAAACATCGCTGCACCAGCCAGCCTCCGACTTCTGTCTGCGGGGGGCGGGGCGGGACGGGGGCGGGGTCTCGGCT